GGGAACAGGGTCAGGGGAGGGACCAGGAATCCCACGGGAACAGGGTCAGGGGAGGGACCAGGAATCCCACGGGAACAGGGTCAGGGGAGGGACGTGCCCATCAGTCCCACCCCAGCACGGAGGGTCCTCTGGGAACGCCCAGGGACACCCAGGGATCCATCCCACTGTCATTCCCCTGGGACAACGTGCTGGTTTTGGGATGCAGGTACCGGCTTGGGGCACCGTGGAAAAGGACACGGTGGGGACACCGGGAACGCTGCAGGACCAACCTCCTCCCTCAGCTCCAGGGGCTCATCCTGCTCCTCGAGGGGGTGCAGGGACCCCCAGGAGCCCCCCCGGCAGTGCCGTGCCCACCCAGGCCACCCTGACCCGGGACGGTGCCAAGTGTGCCGGGCTGACCCAGGTGAGCCCCGGCACCCCGCGCCGAGCCCAGACCGGGATCAGGACACAGATTTTAGGGGGGAAAAAAACCCATCTCTGAGGCGAGACGAGACAAACGGGAAAAGCGGGGAAGAGCGGAAAAGCCCCGGCGCAGACGGCGAGTTGTTGGCAGGAGCTCGGCGGGACCCCCGCGGGCCCGGCCGAGCCCGGAAGAGTTAAATCCCCGCCGGAGGGTGAGCTCAGGTAGGCTGAGCCTGGGGCTCCCCTCGAGCCGGAGGAGGGGCCTGGCTGACCAGTGCCGCCTCACAAAACCCGGCTCCCCGCCGCTATAAAAGCCGGCTCTGCCAGGCTGGGCGCGCACCGTGCCCGTGCGCCCGGGGAGCGGGCGGGGCGACCCGGAACCCCCCTCCCCGAGCCCGGCGGGGACACACACACCCCCCTTCCCCCGAGCAGCGCAGCACAGCGCCCAGGACACCCCCCCCGAACGGCTCTGAGGCTCGCCCCAACCATGTCCTTCGCCATGCTGCGCTCGGCGCCCAGCCGCTACCTGTACCCCGAGATCAGCATGCTGTCCGAGGACGAGGAGAACGGCAGCGAGAGCTCGGGCTCGGACGAGAAGCCCTTCCACCTGGACGCCGAGGGCTACGCGCTGAAGGCGGGCAAGAGGCGCGGGGCCAAGAAGGCGGCGGCGGCGGCGGCGGCGAGGCTGTCGCGGGAGCCCCGGCAGCGGCACACGGCGAACGCGCGGGAGCGCGACCGCACCAACAGCGTCAACACCGCCTTCACCGCGCTGCGCACCCTCATCCCCACCGAGCCGGCCGACAGGAAGCTCTCCAAGATCGAGACCCTGCGCCTGGCCTCCAGCTACATCTCCCACCTGGGCAACGTGCTGCTGGTGGGCGAGGCGTGCGGCGACGGGCAGCCGTGCCACACCACGCCCGCCTTCTTCCCGCACGCCGGAGGAGGTGGTGGAGGTGGAGGTGGTGGTGGCAGCCCCCCGGCGCGGGACCCCGACAGCTCCCAGCCCAAACAGATCTGCACTTTCTGCCTCAGCAACCAGAGGAAGCTGGTGAGTGGGGTGCTCGGGGGGGGGGCGGGATGTGTTGCCCAGGAATTGGGAAGGGGGGGTCTGGCAGTGCCGGAGCGCCGAGACGGGTCCGGTTTAAATGGCATCGCGCCGGGGTGAGACGAGAGGGAGCGGGGTGATTGGGATAGAAAAGCAGCTCTGGTTGGAGATGGAGAGGCACCAGAGTCCAAAATCTTCCCGGGGACCCCCCAATCTTGGGGGTCTGGGAGTGCAAGGGGCACCGAGACAGCTCTGCTTTAAATGCAGCACACCGGTGTGAGCCGAGGGGGAGCGGGGTGACTGGGATCGACGGGATAGCTGGGACACAAAAGCTCTGGTGTCTCTCTGGAGCTGGAGAGACACCAGAGTCTGTCAGAGAGTGCAAAATCCACTCAGGGGACACCCGGGTGCCCCCAGACGCGGGAGCCCGGGAGTGCCGGGGCGCCCAGACAGCTCCAGTTTAAAGGGCACCAGGCTGGTGTGAGCCGAGGGGGAGCTGGGATGACTGGGATAGAAAAGCAGCTCCGGCTGGAGCTGGAGAGACACCAGAGTCTGTCAGCGAGTCCAAAATCCTCCCAGGGGACCCCCAGGCACGGGGGTCTGGCAGTGCCGGGGTGCCAAGGCAGCTCTGCTTTAAATACCATGGCAGTGGTGTGAGCGAGGGGGGGGAGTGGGACGGCTGGGAGAGACGGGATGGTTGGGATAGAAAAGCAGCTCCAGCGGGAGCTGGAGAGACACCAGAACCTGTTGGCGAGCCCAAAATCCCCTCGGGGGATCCTCAGGTGTCCCTAGGAATGAGGGGGGTCTGGGAGTGCCGGGGCACGGAGACGGTTCCACTTTAAACAGCACCAGTGGTGTGAGCGAGGGGGAGACGGGATGGCTGGGATGGGATGGCTGGGAGAGATGGGATGGCTGGGAGAGACGGGACAGACGGGATGGCTGGGACAGACGGGATGACTGGGATAGAAAAGCAGCTCCGGCTGGAGCTGGAGAGACACCAGAGCCCGTCGGCGAGTCCAAAACCCGCTGTGGAAAATACGGTGCCTCCCCCTGAGCACGTCCAGAGCCGCTGCCCGAAGCTGCTTCCAAATCCCAAAAAAAAGAGGCAAAGGGACGGCAGGAGGGAAGCCCCGCGAGGGGGAGAACGGGATTGATTGAGGAGCTGGAAACCAGAGGCAGAGGGAAAGTGAGAGTGTGGGAAGAGCCCGTGGCTCCCCTCTGGCAGGACCAGGCAGCAAACAGAGACGGGAGAGGGATTTGGGAGCTGGGCTGGTCACAGCCAGGGCTCCCAGTATCCCAGTGCTGGGGCTCCCAGTATCCCAGTTCTGGGGCTCCCAGTATCCCAGTGCTGGGGCTCCCAGTATCCCAGTGCTGGGGCTCCCAGTATCCCAGTTCTGGGGCTCCCAGTATCCCAGTGCTGGGGCTCCCAGTATCCCGACGCTGGGGCTCCCAGTCCCCCGTGCCAATGCTCCCAATTTCCCGTGCTGACGTTCCCTGATCCTGGTGCTCCCAGTTCCCCAGTGCCTGGCTCCCTGCTCCTGGCTCCGATCCCGTGTTTTTTAGGGAATAAGTCTCCTCCCAGCCTCTGGTTGAGGTTGCTTCTGTCCCCACTGGCACCGGCACCGTCCCAGTGGCTCTGCTGGGCAGGTAGAGTAGGACATACTGGGAAAATCCAGCGGGAATTTCCTCTTGGATCCAAACCCTAAAATCCAAAAGGCAGCGAGCAGGGACATCAGACCCCCTTGAGGGTCCCCTGGCAGGAGGGGGCTGCCCAGACCCACAGGTGAGAGCAGGAGAGCAGAGATGGGGGGGTCAGGGTGGCAGCCGGAGTGATCCCTGCCTGCCCCATCCCCACGGGATCATCCCAGAGTGATCCCTGCCCACTCCATCCCTGCAGGATCATCCCGGAGTGATCCCTGCCTGCCCCATCCCCACAGGATC